TATAGAGTCGTAGACGATTGCAGGATCCCAAATTATAAGAAATTGACCAATTCTAAGTATTCTCTCTACATTTGACTTGATCGATTTCCTACGACTTAAGACTCCAGGAGGATCATCTACGAATTTTATGTAAACAAGCCTAAAGTCTATCCAAAAGATAGGTTAGATTCTATATAATTTGCTTCTGTTACTAATAATTGGTTGATATAGCAAGTTAGTAGCAAACACAACAACAAAATTTGTTGTCACATATTTACCGATCACCGGTTAAAGTTACTTTGTTAAATTAACAAAATTCTTTCTCTCAGTGAGTGGCATCCCGCGGCGAGATCTGCGAAAATAATCGTTAATTAATAATGCGAATTAGCAATGATAATTTCGGAGCGCGTAGGAAAGCGAACAATGGCGATGTGATAATTGACTTTTTGCGCGCATATGCCGCCCGCTGGTATTATTAGCTTCTTCCTGAAAACAGGGGCAAAGGGGAAGAAGGAGATGTATTGTGTGCATGAGCTAAAATACGCACAATAGGCTGCCAGCTACTTCCGTAGTAATAAAATCCAGATCAATACGGATGCGGCTCTTCTGATTTTCTTACAAGATCTACGTTTAGCACTAAAGTTGTCAGCGACTGATTTCTCTTGGCTAATTTGTACAGATATTAATTAAACTATGGTTTAAATTATGTTGCGTATTTTTTCTAAACTTTGTTTCTAAAGAACTTCAAATGATACTTACGGAAACAATCTAATTATTTAGAATGGAATATAACAACAGAAAGACATTTAAACAACAGAAAGACATTTAAATAAACAACATTTAAATAAACTTGAGACATTATTAGTATTAAATTATAATTATAATATAAAATATTGTACTTTCCGACAATTACTTTCCGGCATTCATTTTTTTATTATACTTTTGGATTTTGTAATAAATTTTTGATGTAAAAATAAAAAGAATCTCTTTTTGAAATATCATCATACGATTTACAGCGTCTATTCCCTCTGGCCGTATTTTCTTATTATTGTTTTTTAATTATAGGGAATCTTAATCAATATTTTGTTTAAATTATTGTACTTTTGAATTGGAAAAAACTGAATCGCGCAGATGATAGTATTAATAAATGTCTGTGTAATCACGTTATGTCAATAAATTATCTTAATACACTAAAGAAGGAAATACATTGCCTTATCAATTAATTAAATACTCAATTAATAGTCAATTAATTAAATACAAGAGACAATCGGAGATGCAAGTCACATATGACTGAATTCGAATTTCAACGTCTGGGCTTTGGCTTGACAAAACCGCGAAACCTCCGATCGCGGATTTCCGAATTTCCGATCGCGATCCGGCATACATACCATCGCCGCGTGACTCCCATACGCGAATAATCGTCCAACTGGCGCGGTGTAGGAATGCGGCGAACCGTCGCGAGAGAACGGACTTCACATGAAAATGAGATTACCGCTTTTCCCATCCGCGCCGACCGGAGTAATAAGGCCGAGCCGCTAGTCGCTCCACTATCGACCGCGTTTTCTCCCAATGCGCTTTCGCGCGTTCAGATTGCCGCCGTTGCCGATCGATCGACCGATTATCCTTATTTATGTAGCTAGACACCGGCCGATCTATGTATGGCGTTTACGCGAACGAAAACGGCGTGGGCATCGGCCAATAAGATCGAGTCACAGTGATTTCCTGCGTCCTTTTCATCGTCCTACGAAAATTTATGACGCGCGATGACAATACGAGCGCGGTAGTTAACTGCGCTACAAGACAATCACGATTTTTCTCCCGCGGTGAAATAATCAACGGGCGTGATTTATCCGGCATTTGTTCCGTATCGCTGTATCGCGCAGATCCTCCTACACTCTCATGCTACCGACGACATAGCTGAACGATCTAAGCACCCTGCCCACACACACACACACACACACAAACACACACACACACACACACACACACACATACACACGCGTGCGCGCATGCTGTCGATGATCAGATAATTCTTTCGAGTCAAATACGTGACGTGGCGAATGAGTCTCTTCGCACTGGCATCGCGACCATCGCCATTATGTTTAATTGATGAAACAGATCTGAGGAACGACGGGAACACGTAACAGATCGCTGCGCGTGACTGTGATCGAACGACCGCAATTACTCCGATATGTCAGCCTCCGTCGCGAGTCAAGCAAATAAGAACCACACGATTAAAACTGGTGTAGAATGAGCAGGGAATGGTACTATGCACATGTGTTGCTTCTCAATTTAAAGTGGATACTTGTTTTATAATTTTTTTAAAAAGAATCGAGGAAAAATTTCAGAGAATCTACAAATTTCTCGATGATAATACAAAATTCAATGAATATTCAATATAAAAAATTAGAAGTTACAAAGAAATAAAGATTAAAGGATTAAATCTATAAGCTTAGGGTAAAGTGGTACAATTCTAAACAAAATAACATTTTTTTTATCCAATTGAGATCCAAAGTTTGATTTTTATTGTGTAAAAGATACTAAAGGGTATCAAATAGAAAAAAATAAAACTTAAACTTTGAAAATTATATTAAAATCTTATTTTATTCAGAATTTCTATCTCATTTATATATTTTATTTATTTTGTTATCATTTATTTTATCATCAATTTATAACAATTTACATTACTAGTATTGTCTACGTGAAAAAAAATCGTGTAAACTAGCGTAAACAATATATAAATATTCTACGTAAATGTAATTTTGAAATATATGATATTATGATACAACTGCGGATTAAATAATTTGATCGATCAAAGTACGATGCACCGAAGCACACGTAAAGGTCTTTCGGAGCGAATTAACTCCTCCGCTTGTCGCGCGCGTTTTCCTTGGGATACGAGAACAATGCTGCGGCTCGGTGCCGACGCACGTAGTTGTCGTTCATGATTATTCAAATCGTTACCACGGAAGAACGCGTGTACACCGTCATCTTATTTCCCCTGTATGCGAAACCGCTGCTACCGCGCCGCTTGCACGCGAAGGAAGGCTTGCTTTACGTCTGCAAGAGGCGAGGCGAAGGGGCGGACGGCGGGGAATTATTTCCGCTTGCGGTACTTCTGCACTTGATGGCTAATTAGAGAATCGTTGCCAGGGCCGCGTAAAGAGCTAGTGGGGATAGCGCATGTATATCCCGACCATCGTCTCTCACGCGCCTTCGCGCGTAAACGCTTAGGGAAAATTAATCCATTAAAGGCTGTTGTCCTATTTCCGAGAACGCTCTAAACGGCAAACAAAATTCACAACGAGTCAAAATGTCTCTGCGGAAAACTCGCCTTTGCCTCGCGCACGCATTAAAAATTTAAAATATTATGTTACATAGGCGTGGACTTCCATCTGCTTCTAGCATAACGTGACTCTCGGTGGAAAGCCTAAAACACAATTAAAGAAAAACAGCCTTGAATTTCAGGCTGATATCTCGAGTTTTTTTACTGGTCATTCTGAAAGATGTCATGAGCAGATTTGCCAACATGTATGCTTGGAAATCTTATACATTTATTTCTTATGTTTTGCGCTGCATTAGTATATTTTCCATGCATTAGTATATTTTCCATGCAGGTAGCATTGAATTTGTTGCCAGTAAAGTTACGTACGTGTATGTTAAAATTACATTTTGAACGCAATGTTTAAGCATGCAAAATTTATCTTTTTCTGTCTTCTCATTAAGCTAAATTGCGTTTATTCAAATCAGGTATGCGTTATTATGATATAAATACGATGTAGACTTCGTTAGCGTTCTAAGTATCAAAGAAAAATTATATAATGCATTATTCTATTCCAAAATAAATCTGTTATGACAGATTTTATAAAGCATACCAATTTTCTTTGAGATTTTGGATTTCAATTTTTTTATATGTGGTTACTGACTCTCTTTTTTTCTTTCTTTCTCTCTTAAATTAAATTGAAAAGATGGCATTGAAGAAATCCTGTCGCACAACTTCAAAAGAACATATTTGTCTCCCTCAGTAGTAACGTTTCTCTTACTCATATTTTCATTGCATTAATATTTCCGGACTACAACGAGCGGAAAGAATCGCGAAATGCAACTCGTAGCATTTTTGAAAAAATACACCGGAAGAGGATTAGTTCACTTTTGTCGGCTAGCTGCGGGTTGTCGCTCCCCCGAAGAGACTCTCTTGGAAGCGAATGAAAGCAGAAACGCGACGTGAAAGTAAATTATACAAAAAGTGGAGTACCTACCTTTAAGGCCAGAGCTGCAGGCGTTTTAAGAAACGTTTCATTGCATTCGACTATATCCGCGAATCCCATCTTCTTACGACTAGTAGAATATACTTCCTGGCACATAACGACATTTTAATATTTAATTAGTAACATGCCGATCATATTAGACTTTTAAAATTACAAGTACCGAGAACAGTGCGCCGCAAGTATTCAAAATGTAATACTTCATATAATTTTTACATAATATAATATAAACATAATTTAAATTTTTACACAATACTTTATGTAAATATATTTTAATAAATTATAAGAGATTATATATTTATCGTATATCAATGTGTATTTTTTAATACGTCGTTATATAATAAAATGCCTATTCACTCTAAAACTTTTAGAGTGAATTGTCATTTTAAAGAATTGAATCTCACTCTTAAAGATTGAAAAGTGAGCCATTCTTTTTCAAGACTGATTCATCAATTTTCACTCTTTAAAGTGAGATTCCACTCCAAAGAATTTAGAAAGTATATTAGAGTTATACAATATATTAGACTAATATATTTTATAATGTTTTCATTAATGTTGTCGAGTAAAAATTAAGTGCAGATATGAAGAATTAAGGTCTTAATATTTAATTTTTACTGCGTTAGGATCGCGATGAACAGACGCGTCTTGAGATGAAGCACCGAAAAGAAGAAGATGATTTATACCGAAAATTTGCGCATCATCGTGAGGAAGAGGATCGACGAATTCGCGAAGAATTCCGAGTAAGTAATGATTAAAGCGGATTGTAACAAAAGTAATGTGATTTGCATTTTACAAATTAATTTTTTAATACATTGTTAATTACAAATAATATATATTAGTAAAATTTCAATATTACGCATTCATAATTTCATATATTACGCATGGTTTGAAAAGGATGAGTGGGAGAAGGAACTGGAGCAATTGTCGGCGAGATGGGAACGGGAAAAAGGCGGAAGAGTTCGAACCCAACAATTTCAGCAAGAGAAGGAGGATCTGGAGAAGAACATGACTCTACGTAGAGACAAGAAGAAGGAAAGTCTCACACGCAAGATGCTGGAGCACGAACGGTATTTATTATGTAATTAATACGATACACTACAACTCGCTTTTAGATCAAAGAAATAATACTTATATCATGGCTCATTCATTATTTCATTGAACAAAAAAGTAATTATTGAGCGTAAAGGATAACAGAAATATCTGGTACACTTGATACAGTAAACATTTGATAACGGATTTATTACAGATACAATTTTAGTATCTGTAATAAATTCATTGTGAGATACAAATACATAAAATCGAAAAAAGTTGAAAATTTGTCTAACTAATTGGATGTCTCTATATAGCATGTTTGAGAAATCCTGAAACAAAAATTCTAAAAATTCACAAATTCAAATATCAGCTAATTCATATCAAGCTTTTATATAATCCTCTTTCTTCTCAATACACACAATAGAACGTGATACAATGATTGAAAACTACACGGAAATAACAATTTTGTTTTTTTGATATCTCAGCAAATCGTTTTTTCCGTGTATAATACTTCTCTTTTGAAATTATCTTTAGCTAACGCATTCCATCTTGAATCGCTAATATATATTGTATATTTTCAAAAAAAACTCCCTTTTTAAACGCGATTTTATATTGAGAAATGAAAAAAAATTTGCCAGAATATGGGGTGGATTACTATACCTGTAGTTGTTTAGCAAAGAACTGTGATGATCCTGGCTTTGTGTGGAACACGCATTGTTGTGTAAATTTGTGCCTCTAGACAAACTGTGAATTCGTTTTATTTAGAGTTTTGAATTTCCGAAATAATTGAGACACATCAGGAATATACGAGTGTTTCTATACAAAACTAGGACAATCTCGCAATTTTTGACCAAACGACAGATCGCAGTGGTCCATCATTTTTTGTATTCTCCTGAATTGGTACCGGCAAGTTCTTTTTACTACCTAAGATACAGTTGTATTTAAAAGGGAAATTTTTTAATGTAATCTGAGCGATCCAAGATCGCAAACATAAGTTAAAAACTTTCATAAAGAAGAATATTATAAACTTTCAATCATTGCACGCCATTCTATCGCGTGTATTAAAAAAAAAGAAGAAATCTATGTAGAAGTTTGATATAAATAAAAGCTAATATCTGAATTCGCTGATTTAAAAAAATGTTTGTCTAGGAATTTTTCAAATATATATATGTATGTATAGTCGATGTAATTTTTCATACATTCTTATACTTTATACGTACAATAATTCGTAATTTGTTTGTTATTTATTACATGATATATTATGATATATTAACAGTCGACAATTTCAAAAGAGATTACGAATATCGATTCCATGCATTTTACGAAAGAACACGAGGAAGAGTTACGCGTGCACGTTTACGAGCCGCGGTAGCTTCAGCTTTATATTCTTTTTGGTTTCTTTTTTCTTCCGGACGATAAACAAGCTCGCGTGCATTGGCGCTCGCGAACCGGGAAGCCGGATTTTCGCGCTCAACACAAAAGCTTCTCGTTACTCCTGATCAATTTATAGGGCGGCAACCGCCGCGCTGGTGGAGAAACAGAGCTCGGAGATGCTGGAGCTGATCAATGAAGCGAGAAGCGAATACATGCTACAGGAAAGTTTATACCTTGACGAAGGAGACGGTTATACTCAGGAAGCGCCGCCTCCGCCTTATCCATCGCGCGCGCCACCCCCGCAGCCACCAGCCCTCGCCAAATACCATATCTACAATGATCCCCTAGAGTTCGCCGACATGGATCAGATAGCTATTTCGGTAAGACTTCACCGCGGAATTCTTTCAGCGCTTGTTTCCTCTCGCGAGTCATCTTCCTTGTCTCTGGAACAAGATTTTACGGTATACAGTTTATCGCAAGTATTCTAAGAGCTCTATCATCTATTACATTATAATGTTTTATTTAAATGGATTTAAACTCGAGAAATTTTTTTGTCATCTTAAAATATATCCGATATTAATGTTTTTATTTCCTTTCTTACATCTAATTTCTGGAGATGTTATTCATATTGGATTGTATGTATAAGCGACCAAGCCAAACACCGTACTCTTAACATCGCTTTTATAAGATTCACTCATACTAAGTGATTTATATTATCTTGTGTTGTTCTTAGGTAGCCCAAGAAGATCAAAAAACGTTCACCGACTTAGTGCGACAGTTGGTGAGCAGATGCGGATCGGATATAGAAAAGGCGAGGACAATATTCCGATGGATCACCGTGAAAAATCTGAACACTATGCAATTTGATGAAAACTTACGGGGTGACACTCCCATGGGTCTGTTGAGGGGCATCAAACATGGCACGGAAAGTTACCACGTTCTATTCAAACGATTGTGCAGGTAACCGCATGCTAACGATAATATTACAAAAAATAGATGATACACGAAAAGAATTTTCTCTCAAAATTTATCCTGAAAATTTGGTTAGTAGTGGTACAATACAATATTTTAAAGATTTTTACCATGCACTTCAGTAAAATTAATCAAATTTATTTTATATATTTTATTGTAGTTTTATTAGTGAATAAAAGAGATTTACATAAAATTCTTTGAAA